ACCGATGTATCCGTGGGCAGTTAGCATCAGGCAATGGAATAGGTTCTAGAACCAGTGCTGAACATAGCAGATCTCTTTCCATAGGGAGGAAACACACGAGAAACCGTTACAAAAACAAAGGAATGAACCAAATAACTGAAAGAGTAAATGAAAACAAGAACAAGGTTATAAATGAGAGGGTTTATTCACCAGGCAGCCAAGCAGGCGCAGAAGGTGATGGCGCCCCACTCCAGCACTCTTGCCTGGAAAACCCCATGGACGGAGGAGCCTGGTGGGCTGCAGTCCATGGGGTCGCGAAGAGTCGGACACGACTGAGCGACTTCACTTTCACTTTTCACTTTCATGCATTGGAGAAGGAAATGGCAACCCACTCCAGCACTCTTGCCTGGAAAACCCCATGGACGGAGGAGCCTGGTCGGCTGCAGTCCATGGGGTCGCGAAGAGTCGGACACGACTGAGCGACTTCACTTTCACTTTTCACTTTCATGCATTGGAGAAGGAAATGGCAACTCTCTCCAGTGTTCTTGCCTGGAGAATCCCAGGGATGGGGAACCTGGTCGGGTGCCGTTATGGGGTCACACAGAGGCGGACACGGCTGAAGCGACTTAGCAGCGGCAGCAGCAGCAAGCAGGCAGATGGGCGAACATCCACCTCCTGGGAGACGGGGGGCTCAGGGTATATTGAGAGGATACAGAATAAAGAAGCAGGGGGTCTGAGGCGGGAAGCGGGGGCGGGGTGACTGGAGACAGCGGCGGGGGGGGGGGGGTCGCTGTTCTGCGCAGGCGTCACTGGGCGACGGGCCTCTCCGCGAAGGGGGTGGAGCCTTCCTGCGTGCCGAGGTCAAAAGGCACGCGCCCCGCTGACGGCCGGGTGGTCCTAGCCAGTCGTAACCAGCTCAGCTCTGACTAGACACAGCTAACCGCCAGTTTCTGGGAAACAATCCAAGCCAACTTCTTGTTTAGGTTACCTGCCACTTGAAGAATGTGTAAGTCGTCAGCCGACCTTAATTAGTGAAGGTAGGTGAAATGGATTTACTCATTTACTCATTACCCATGGTTTCAGCAACTGCTTCTGCTGATAATGGCTAAGAAAAAGGTGCTTATTTATGCTAAATTGCCTCCGACTCTCTGCAACCCTATGGACTGTGGCTCACCAGGCTCCTCTGTCCATGGGATTTCCCAGGCAGGAAGGCTGGAGCGGGTTGTCATTCTCTTCTCCAGGAGAGCTTCCTGACCAAGGGATCAAACCCGAGTCTCTTAGGTCTCCTGCATTGGCAGGTGGGTTCGTTACCAGTAGCGCCACCTAGGAAGCCCTAAGAACAGGGTGAAATAAGGTAAATGGCTGGGAGGGTTGCTTTAGCAAGGTAACCAGGATAAAGCTTGTCTGACAGGATGACCCTGGAGTTGAGCCATAACTGATGAAAGAGGGACAGAAGAATTCTTCCAATTTTTTTCATTACTTAAGATCCCTTGGGGATTAAGGAGGGGGGGTACAAAAAGTGTTTAAATTATCATGAATTTAGATAGTTCGAGAAGACCATAATTTGCCCATTTTAGAGAAATAAACATCACTTTAAAAATAGTATTGTAGAGTATAATCCATACCTGCTCTACAAACTACTCTATTTTAGTGAAAATAAAAGCTCAGCCTGATTGGATGAGCATAGAAAGTGATGAAAACGTGGAGGCTAAAAGATATAGGGCCATTTCCCCTTCCCCGCCAAAGTGATCCAGCCAGGATATGACAAAGCTGGGAAGCAGAAGGGTCTTTTATTCCGTGGTTTATGCTTTTTCAATCATATCGGAGCCTTTCGGCCATCGGCTTCCTCCTTTGACAGGGATTCAAACCCAGAGGCCAGCAACAGTCAAGAGAGCAGCACAATAAGTGCAGTTATCCAGTGGGACTGTGGTGAAAATGAAGAGCTCTATCCTGTACTTAGGGAGGGTGAATACTCAGTTCTTGCTAACTGTTGCAGACCTCTGGCTCCCACATCTTCTGCTTTGTCAAAGATAAGCTGGAAACCTAGACTTTCATGCACATACTAAAATATTTTAAACATTAGTAATTATCACAAATTAATACACACATACACTCCATCTCTCGGCAGGATGTTGTCCAAGGGTGCGCTCTGATATTCTTATATTAGAAGTCCCTCAGATAAAGAGTCCTCTTTTGCACATTTTGAAACCATTTGTCAGTGTTTTTCAGGTCTTTTTCTCCTTTGAAAAAAATGCAATTTCTCTCCTGGCTTATTAAGACTTATCTGCACTTTCCTTCACCAGGAACCAGAAATTTGAGTTCAGCTCTCATCAACTACCACAAGGGGGAGCTCAAACTTCTTTTTTTTTTTAAATAAGTTTTACCTGTAGTCAACATTAATTCATGCAAAAACTGAAACGATTATCATATGACATTTTAGGTTATCTCTTCCTGCTAAAATTGCCTATGTGGCTAGATTTTAAGAACTATTTCACTAGCTATAAAAATAGACAGCAAACGCCCCTAAAACTCATCTTAAAGCCTAGCAGTCTAATTTTTATTTTACATTTTATGGTTTTTAATTTATATATTCAATTTAACTTTTTTATATCATGATATATTCTCAAGGCAGAGGTAAAGAAGCAAAAACAATATAGAGTTTGGAACCACTCTATAGAGTCCTATAATGTACAATTCAAATTTAAATTTAAAATAGAAAAAAGGAAAAAAAAAAAAAACAACCCAGGATTCTGTGAGACAGGAAATATGTTTTCCTTTTGGCAAAGCAAAACCAATGGTTATCCCTAGTGGGCCGAAGTATCCAAAGATGCCACTTTGGCGTAGAGGCTAGTCTTTTCCTGGGTTTCCAGCTTTATCTGCCCTCTTTCTTTTGGTCATGGACCTCTCTCCTGTTACATCAGCCCACACATCAAGCCCTGAATGGAGGTGTGATTTCTTGTTGTTTCTTTTCTTGTTTTCCTCCCCTGTGTCCTCCCCAGGAAAGCCAGGAGAATAACAGTACTTCAGGAGGCTTAGCAAGCGGTTGTTGAGTTGAAATCTGTGAAGTGCTCCATGCAGGGTCTAACACATGGAACTCCATATGTGCTAAAAATTATTATAGCAGACATTGGATATGAGTGCATCTTATTGAAGTGACATTCCTGGGATTCAATCTGTGACATAGTTCACAGTGTTGCAAGAGAAATTAAAAAAAAAATAACCCAGCTAAATTGTTAATATTATGTTCTGAAGTATCTTTAGCATAACGAAATTCAAGAATTAGTTGTTGACTAGCAGTGCTAACACAGGCCTTGGCTTTGATATACACTTCTAATTTTGGCAAATACTCTCATGTATTTACATTAAAAAAAAAGATTTTTGAATAACCAGGTCCCATTTTTATATACAGTATATGCAGTGTGAAAGTGAAAGTCACTTAGTCATGTCTGACTCTCTGCGACCCCAGGGACTGTAGCCCTCCAGGTTCCTCTGTCCATGGGATTCTCCGGGCAAGAATACTGGAGTGGGTAGCCATTCCCTTCTCCAGGGGATCTTCCTGACCCAGGTATTGAACCCAGGTCTCCATCATTGCAGGGAGATTCCCTACCATCTAAGCCACCAGGGAAGCGAGATATGCAGTGTAGTCTGTATCTTATTTTATGTAAGGATGATCAGGTAAATTTACGATGAGAAAACAAGACTATTTACTTTGACCTGCTTGTCTTATAGCTAATCAATACATCTGCATCTCGTATTAACTTCAGCTAAGATAATCTTTACCATATCCCTGAAGAAATTAAAAACTTCCTATTAAAGCTGACTCTTCAGTCACCCCAATTGGTTAAAGTTTAAAAAGGTAAAAATGGTGTGCAGTTATTTTATAAAAGTTTGTTTATTAGGATTATGGCAGAGAATCTATTATTCAATTACAACATTTTCTTTACAGGAAAAAAGTTTTGCAAAATTCTGACTTATGGAAAAAATGCCAGTTCCAAATAAAAGTATTCTCTGTTCCTCTCATTAATTAATGTCACACTTTAATTTTTTTAACATCTATTTATTGAGTGCCAGGTATGGCTACTGTTCTAGCTAAGGCATGCTTCCTACTTTGAAAACGAGACCATTATACTTTTTTTGGTTAAACAGTCAAAATCAAGTGAAAAGATAATCACAATAGGTTAATTAAGGCAGTTGACAGGTTAAATATCTTAATAGTTTAAAACTAGAAATCTAAGAGGCTTCTGAATGTGGGTCCTCTCAAGTTCTCTGGCCTTGTCGGGTTTCAGAACTAAGCGCTTTTGCTCACTGCTGCCACCTGCTGGCAGCCCATCATCTCCTCAGGCACTGCTCCGTGAGGTGGCTAGGAGCCGTGTGGACTTGTCTATCTAGTCTCGGGTGTACTGTCTGCCTCCTGGCTTTCACCATTTCTGGGGTTAGATTATTATAGGGTTTCCAAATTAATATTTCTAGGGTTTGGGAAAGAAGAATCAGAATTCCCAGGAATTCTTGAAATGATATCATTATGTACTTTTAAAAAGTTCTTATTTACATATTTTGAATTAGTAGTGAATTTGTGGTGTAAGAGGGCAGAGTAGAAGGACACGCACTCATCTTCTCCTGCGAGAACTCCAAAACTACAATTTGCTGCTGAACAACCATCAACTAGAGAATGCTGGATCCCACCAAAAAAAAGATACCCCATGTCCACGGGGAAAGGAGAAGCCCCGGCAAGATGGTAGGAGGGGTGAAATCATGTTTAGAATCAAACCCCTTACCCGCCAGAGACACTCATAGGGCTCAAACAAACCTTGTGCGCACCAGGACCCAGAGACCCCACAGAGACTGAGCCAGAACTGTGTTTGAGTGTCTCCTGCAAAGGTACAGGTCAGCAGTGGCCTGCCACAGGGGCAGGGGCTCTGGGTGCAGCAGACCTGGGTATGGAATAAGCCCGCTTGGAGGAGGTCGCCATTAACCCCACCACAGAGCTGCCTGAACTTACACAGGACTGGGGAAACAGACTCTTAGAGGGCACATAGAACCTGGTGCGCACTAGGACCCAGGAGAAAGGAGCAGTGACCTGACAAGAGCCTGACCCAGACTTCTCTGTGAGTGTCTAGGAGTCTTCTGCGGAGGCATGGGTGAATGGTGGCCTGCTGCAGTGTCCAGGGCATGGAATGCGGCAATGCAGCGGGTGGGACCTTTTGAAGGAAGTCGCCATTATCTTCATTACCTCCACCATAGTTTGGCCTCAAGTCAAACAACAGGGAGGGAACACAGCCCTGGCCATCAACAGAAAATTGGATTAAAGATTTATTGAGCATGGCCCCACCCATCAAAACAAGACCCAGTTTCCACCTCAGTCACTCTCTCCCATCAGGAAGCTTCCATAAGCCTCATATTCTTCTCCATTAGACAGATGGAAACAGACAGACTGAAAACCTCAGTCACAGAAAACTAACCAAACTGATCACATGGACCACAACCTTATCTAACTCAATCAAACTATGAGCCATGCTGTGTAGGGCCAAGATAGACGGGTCATGGTGGAGAGTTCTGAAAAACTGTGGTCCACTGGAGAAAGGAATGGCAAACCACTTCAATATTCTTGCCTTGAGAACCCCATGAACAGTATGAAAAGGATAGGACACTGAAAAAGATAGGACACTGAAAGATGAACTCCCCAGGTCAGTAGGTGCCCAATATGCTACTGGAGATCAGTGGAGAAATAACTCCAGAAAGAATGACGAGACGGAACCAAAGCAAAAACAATACCCAGTTGTGGGTGTGACTGGTGATGGAAGTAAAGTTCGATGCTATAAAGAGCAATATTGCATAGGAACCTGGAATGTTAGGTCCATGAATCAAGACAAATTGGAAGTGGTCAAACAGAGAAGGCAAGAGTGAACATTGACATTTTAGGAATCAGTGAACTAAAATGAACTGGAATGGGTGAATTTAACTCAGGTGACCATTATAGCTAACACTGTGGGCAAGAATACCTTAGAAGAAATGGAGTAGTACCCTCATAGTCGACAAAAGAGTCCAAAATGCAGTACTTGGATGCAATCTCAAAAATGACAGAATGATCTCTGTTCATTTCCAAGGCAAACCATTCAATATCACACCAAGTCTATGCCCCAACCAGTAATGCTGAAGAAGCTGAAGTTGAACAGTTCTATGAAGACCTACAAGACCTTCTAGAACTAATACCCAAATAAGATGTTGTTTTCAGTATAGGGGACTGGAATGCTAAAGTAGGAAGTCAAGAGATACCTTGTGTAACAGGCAAATTTGGCCTTGGAGTACAGAATGAGGCAGGGCAAAGGCTAACAGAGTTTTAACAAGAGAACAAACTGGTCATAGTAAACACCCTCTTCCAACAACACAAGAGAAGACTCTACACATGGACATCACCAGATGGTCAGTACTGAAATCAGATTGATTATGTTCTTTGCAGCCAAAGATGGAGACGCTCTATACAGTCAGCAAAACAAGACCAGGAGCTGATTGTGGCTCAGATCATGAACTCCTTATTGCCAAATTCAGACTGAAATTGAAGAAAGTAGGGAAAAAGCACTAGACCATTTAGGTTTGACATAAATCAAATCCCTTACAATTATACAGTGGAAGTGACAAATGGATTCAAGGGATTAGGTCTGATAGAGTACCTGAAGAACTATGGATGGAGGTCCATGACATTGTACAGGAGGCAGTGATCAAGACCGTCACCAAGAAAAAGAAATGCAAAAAAGCAAAATGGTTGTCTGAGGAGGCCTTACAAATAGCTGAGAAAAGAGAAGCAAAAGGCAAAGGAGAAAAGGAAAGATATACCCATTTGAATGCAGAGTTCCAAAGAATAGCAAGGAGAGATAAGAAAGCCTAATCTCAGTGATCAGTGCAGAGAAATAGAGGAAAACTGTGGAATGGGAAAAACTAGAGATCTCTTCAAGAAAATCAGAGATACCAAGGAAACATTTCATACAATAATGGGCATGATACAGGACAGAAATGGTATGGACCTAACTGAAGCAGAAGATATTAAGAGGGGGCAAGAATACACAGAAAAACTATACAAAAAAGATCTTAATGACCCAGATAACCACGATGGTGTGATCACTCACCTAGAGCCAGACATCCTGAAATGAGAAGTCAAGTGGGCCTTAGGAAGTAGTGTTTGACCAAAATAGTAAACAAAAGCCTTTTTTTCTCACAGGGTTTTTGCTAAAAGTTCAGAGGCTTTTTTTTTTTATTATTCTTATAAGCCAGTATATTGAAACAAAATTATATGTTTTAGTAATAGATTCATCTCTACCTGATATTTATATTTTGTTATAGAAAACACTGAAAGAGGAGACATAAAAACAAAAATGTCAAAGAAAAATTATTTTAAATGTAAAGATTATACCATATATACTTAATGTTTACAAGTTAAAATTCTTGAATTCTAAGATCAAAGCATTAGTTGCCTTATCCAGTACTCTTGATTTTTGTTTCATGACAAAAATTGTTTTTATTGCATTGATATTTGCATTTATGAACACATGCATTGATACTTGTTCACTTGTCAAAAGCATCTTCAAGTTGGGTATAAGAATACATATTGCTTTCTGTAAGCTAATTTCCTTTAAACAATTTTGAGTTTTCTGTTTAAATCAGTTTTGCAAACTGTGGCATTTTCATATATCTTATTAAAAATTACAAACTAGAAATTTGAAAGGAAACAAATAACAAGCTTGAGATAAAAATTGAGATCTTTAAAGATACTTAAATGGTAAATCCTAATCTATTCATAGCTCTCAATGATGTCTGTAATTGAGAAGGATAAGAATATGTTCAAAATGATGGGAAGTTTTAATGTAGTGGACATTTGTCAATTTGGGGGTATCTGGTATCCAAGTGTCCTGCCTGTTTTAATCACTGTTTTTCAGAGAAACAGAAATAGAACAGGACTAATAAGATATGTGTATATGTGTGTGTATCTGTATCCATAAATATATATATTTATTCATTTATAATAAGGATTTGACTTACATGATTATGGAGGTTGGCAAGTCCCCCAAAATCTCTAGTTGGCAAGTTGGTGATCTAGGAGAGCCAGTGGTGTAGTTTCTGTCAAATAGCTGGCAGGCTTGAGACCTAGGAAAAGCCCGTGTTTCATTTTTAGTCTGAAAGCAGGAAAAGCTGATGTCCAAGCTCAAGACAGTCAGGTAGGCATAATTTCTATTTCTTGTAGGAAGGTTAGCCTTTATCTTGTATTCAGACTTTCAACTGATTAGATGAGGGCCACTCACAACAAATGAGTCCTATCATCTTCATCAGATTCACTGATAAGAATGGGAGTTGTCATTAAAAATGCTCATAAAATATATACATTTCATACCTCTACCTTTTTAGTTTTTCAATCTCTGCTGAGTGGAGCCCTAAAATCTGTTTTTAATGGCCTCTGTAGATGCATTTGTGCCCAAACATTCAGTTACTCCTGTCTATTTAGACTAATGGGATGATGTAAAATGAGGTCCCTGGAATAAATGTGTTCTCCACTGCTCCCAAACCCCACCCCTGCCCCAATCCCAAGAAGAGGTGGAGTTACAGGGAGCATGGAATTTCTTGGATTGTTGCGCTTGTGTTAATTTCAGTTGCTAGTAGTGTTGAGGCAGTGCCAAATGATCTCTAATATCAAGATCCTATGAGAACATTTAACACTGGAATACTCCAGGGACTTTTCTTCAGAGGGAAACTGCTGTGTGACTGAAAATGTAGTCATGATTTGAAAGTAATAACTGGGCTAGGCTGGAAGGTCCAAGATGGCCTCACTCTTGCGATGGTGGTGGTCACTGGCTGGAATGCTTCATAGTATTTTTAAGTCTCACTAAGCCTTATTTCATTGTGATTTCAACTTAGTGTTTCTTTTCTCTTTCTTTTTATTTTCCCAAAGACTGTTACAACATCTACTTACATTTAACCATGTGTAGAAAACTTATTTAAAAAAATATCAAAGTATATAATAGAAGCCCTGAAATTCATGCTTGTTATGAACTAAAAAGTGAAAGCAGAGTTTGTTCCTAGATTAAACATCACATTTTAAAAAATGTATATTCTGTTTGATTCCTTCAATTGAATATATAGTTAGAGGGAAAAAAATTTTAAAATTCAACTAATTATAATGTAAATATAAGGCCAATTTACAGAGACATATTTTACATAATTTGAAAAACAGAAAGGGGATGGAATTAACACTGCTACAATTTTTGTTATTTTCCTCCAATTTTTAATCCTTGTGCTTTATAATGTCATAATTGTTCTAAATGCTGCCTTTAAAATGAGCTAATGCCATAAATATTTTCTTTTCTTATTTCTGTATCATATTTTAAAGTATTTTTACTGGAGGATTAATTTTCTATCTAATGAATAAACTATAATTTATTTAACCAATTCTACATAAGTGAACATGCAGGTTATTTTGCTGTTGTTGTTTTGCTTCTTTTTCATTATTACCTCAGGCCAGATTCCTATAAAGTCAGTCAAAGCTTATCTGAACAAGTTTAAAGACATTGCTAACTTCAGTTTCAAAGAGTTGTATCAGTTTACTTCCCCATCAATAATACATAAGCAATAGCTTCTGTCTTCCCTTTCCAGCATTTCCAGGATTCACAAAATGTTAGCCTCTCAATAATTTATTCAAAAATGTTTATTGATCACTTTACTGTGTGCCGGAGTCTGTATGTACAAAGAAGAACAATGTCCAAAGGAGTTTGTGATTAAGTAGGAAAGACAGATGTCTTAAAAGTATATATTTCCAGTTTAATTTTAAAAGTTCAGTAAGAGAGATTTTCCCAGTTAAGATGGCACTAGATAATATGAGGGCAATGCCGCATCTACTTCACATATATAATAATGATAGGTAAAATATAAAAATATGAAATTCAAAAGGCATGGCTAGATTCAAAGTCGAATATAGCTGAAGTCACGTGCCTGCTAGGCTCCTGGTCTCTTTAGTATCCATAGTGTTGGTGCTGGGGGAGACTAATGTTTTGACAAATCCTTCCCCCAACCCCAGTGAATAATACATCCTCCTTCAAGTGTGTGACATTTTACGGAGAGAGTCAAAGGTGTTAACGGGTCATTTAGCTCCATGAAGGAAAAGGCAACCTTCTCTTCTATTTTGTTTAATGCTTAATTCATTAAACCTAAAACCATTTTGTTATAAACATTCACTTAAACATTGAACACTCACAATATCTCTAAATATTTTTATATTACTTACAAGGATAATCTATCAATACTTACAGAGTTCAGTTAAAAATATCTCAAATATTTAAATGATTGTGAATAC